CTTGGAACTCTCTTTACGATACCATTTCACACTCGCAGCGCCGTTGAACAGTTTGATTTGTACGTTGAGAAAGGGGAGCCATTTTTCGGTTGCTGCCGCGTAAGCTTTATGTGCTGTGACTGTTGATTGAGTAGTCGAAAACACTCATCCATTTCGGATTGTGTTGATGTTATGACGCAACAGTCATCGATGTAGCGACAATACATAAGAGGCATACGTGACAGCACTGGTTCTTCTATTTTGCTCATAAAGCAGATCACCAATACTGGAGCTAGTCTCTGTCCCATTGCAAGACCTCTTAGTTGAGTATAGTATGTTCCTGACCACCGAAAGATGTTACAAGAAAGGCATTCTTGGATCAGGAGCATAACCGATCTTGTACTCAACCCGAAGGTTTGGATGTTGCTACCAAAGCTGTTCAACATTTCCGAAACTGCCTGCAGAGCATCATCATTTTGAACATTCGTGTACAGAGACACGACATTAAAAGATTCTGCTATACATTGCGTTTGCAAAGTAGTGTTGCGAAGGCGTTCTAAGAAATGATTCGTATTGGTTAAATGAGACGGAACTTTGTCCAGAAGCTGATTAACAATCTTATTCAAGAACCAGGAAATTCGGTCGGTTGGTCCTCCTACACAACTTATGATCGGTCTTATTTTCAACTGTTCTGCCGTCAAAATGCGCGTGTCATCAGTAGCGGTTAGTTTATGGGTTTTAACAAGACTGTAAAAGACTGGGCATTCTGGTGCAATCTGCTGAGAAAGCTCTCGGGAAGGCCAGCTGCTCTTCCTGCTTCCACCCAAACATGGTTTAGTCGCTTGTATTGTGCTTGAAAGTCTTTCTCAGTTACACGGCGATAGATGGTCGTATCGCTAAGGTGGAGTTCTGTGATTTTCCTGTAGATTTGTGGAAGAACCACAAATTCTCCTCCCTTGTAGCTTACCGAGATACGTATAGCTTTACTAGAGACTAAATCACGTACTTCCTTATAGCCAAGTCGTTGCGAATGAATCAAGTTGATCGGTTGTGGGTGCTTAGCTTGATGAGTATAAGCATCTAGCACACCAGCAGATAGAATCTTAAACTTGACACCAGCTTCAGCCGATGGCTGAGGTTCTTTGTAAAACAAACTTGGGAAAGGAATGGGTGGAATTGTTCGTCTTGACTGTGAATTTTGAGCATTCTGTGAATTTTGGTCATTATCACTAAGTCTAGTCCTTATTCGCAATTGGTCTCGGAGTCTGTGTAAACCACCGACAACTTTCCGAAAAACAGACCCATCAACTTTTTGAACGATAGAAAATGAAGGGCCTAGACTAAGAAACCCAAGCGCGTCATTAGAAATAGGAGTGTCGTCAATCACCGTGACTTTAGCCAATTTGGTTAGATTTTCATTTTGAGTTGTAGACTCGATAAAGCGGTGGATGGAAGGTAAGTTGCTTTCAACGTTACCCGTATTTTTGAGAGTAGCACTTCGAAGTTTTTCGTACTTAGCGCAGAGTCTGGATTTGGTTTCAGATCGAATAGAAGCACAAATCGATCTCGAGCCGTTCTCAATCCTCCTCCAAGATCGAGCAGGTACGAGACGTCGGCACGCATCTTCTTTACGAGTACATTTCAACAAGGACGAGTACAATACATGCTGCTTTTCTTTGATAATGACTGTTAGAATCGTGCAATAGATCTTCTTTATCTTCGAGTCATTCTCTTCGAGGCTGCATAGTGCTCCCAGCTTCTTGTTTGAAATGAATTTCGGCACCGTGTTGGACGTCCTGCACCGTTGGAGATACTTGATCGACTGGCGGAGGGATACCGCTTTCTATCGAAGCGACAGTGCTTCTTTGACCAGAGGAAAAACTCGTGGCGGTATATCAGTAAGTAACTTCCATATTTCCTCCTTTCTTAACCTCGGAATAGTTAGTTGTAATGTGGTGAGTAGTTAGTATGCCAGCACGAGGTTAGTAGATTTATTGTTAGTAGTGGCGGCCTAACGTTTCGACGATTTCGTCTTCTTCAGAGGCCTAAAGTGGTAGGAGATTTAGATCTGTCCAGTGCTGTCACGTATGCCTCTTATGTATTGTCGCTACATCGATGACTGTTGCGTCATAACATCAACACAATCCGAAATGGATGAGTGTTTTCGACTACTCAACCAACAGTCACAGCACATAAAGCTTACGCGGCAGCAACCGAAAAATGGTTGGCTCCCCTTTCTCAACGTACAAATCAAACTGTTCAACGGCGCTGCGAGTGTGAAATGGTATCGTAAAGAGAGTTCCAAGAATATCTTGATCAATGCTCGTTCTGCACATCCGATCGCTGTTAAAAGAGCTGTCATTCGTAACATGCTCAAAACGGCAACGAACGTATGCACAGGCGAAGAAGAACGGAAGGAATCACAAAGTAGGGCGCTGGAGATTGCTCGAATGAATGGTTACGCGCCCCAAAAAGGACGCAGAAGACCATCCAATTCCACTCATAGCAATCAGCACCAACAGAAAGTACCTCTTTGCCTTCCTTTCGTTTCTGACGAAACTAGTGCTGCAGTGCGGCGATGCATTGATCGTGCGAACTTGCAAGACGATGTCATTTTAGTTGATATTCCTAGTGATAACATCAGAAAGCGGCTAGTTCGTAACAGACTATACGACAACTACTGCAGAGTCCAAGACTGCGTAGTTTGTCCATCCGGTAAAGTTGGTGACTGCGGTAAAACGGGTGTTATATATGAGATTGAATGTGTCGAGTGCAGCGCCACTTATATCGGAGAGACTGGGAGACCGCTTTGGGTAAGAATAAAGGAACATCTTGCCAGCAAGAGAAGGGGAAGTCTTACCACACCGCTTGGTAAACATAGGGTTGAATTCCATTGTGGTAAAGACTTCGAAATTACGTGCACTATACTGGCATGCGAGTCTGATACTGCTAGTAGAAAAGCTCTCGAGGCATTCTGGATTTTTGCAAGAAATCCATGCATGAACAACCGAAATGAGTGTGCGTCAATCACGAATGCCTTTTAACTATGTGAGTTGAAGAATGCCACTGATTAATATCAATATGGAATACGCTCTATTCCATACTAGTGGCACTCGAGGACGGCCGCATTCAACATCCACCTGAGCGGCAGCGGTGGAGGGGGTCAGTTCGTCTTTTGCGTACTTGCGTATTTTTCTTTGTAACATTCGGGGGTGGAATCGAGGCTGGCCAGGGTGGAGGAGGTTTGTGGTGGGGTAGAGCATAAGATCTAAATCTCCTACCACTTTAGGCCTCTGAAGAAGACGAAATCGTCGAAACGTTAGGCCGCCACTACTAACAATAAATCTACTAACCTCGTGCTGGCATACTAACTACTCACCACATTACAACTCAGTTTGATGTTTTTTCGACTTTCCACCACTTTTTTAGGTAGATTCATCTAAAGGCCTTCTTTCCATATTCAGTTATATGCCAATTACACAAACTAAAAAGCTCATAACTCGCTTCAGAGGAATGCTTCGCAGCTATGGACAGCATATTTGGAATCAGCGTTCCGAGGTGATTCTAAATATACGTGCCTCATTTCAAAGGCCGACCTAAGTAAAGTGACTTCCCTTGTAAGTGCCCTTATCGCGACTTAAAGTAAAAAAATTTAAAAAAATGAAAGATACAAAAACCTCGTCACCTTCTCATAATCTAGAACCAATGTGATATCTCCATTCCCCAATTTTTTTCAGCCAGACAAAAAGAAGCTTATGAGTTGCGCGATTTTTTCTTTTGATGGCAAACAAAATGATTCCAAAAATTTCAGCAACTTTGAGTTTCTTCACTTATTTCCAAATTCTCAAAACTTTTATCTACACCACGCACTGCGTGGACAATGTATAATTGCCCTTTTTCTATCCCTGCGTGGACGGTGTATCACATTGCCTTCTTTCTCTCCCTGCTTAAATCGTGATAGATTTACCTTAGAATGCCGTTCCCGATCAGTGCCCTTGATGAAATTTCAACAACTCTTTCCAAAATTTTAAGAAAGCAAAGATAATGCCGCGAGCTTCTACCGCTACAATTACATCGGAGTAGTAAATATGAAAATGACAATTGAACTTGTAAAAACTCACTCCTCTCCATCCGGTACTCTTGATCCAATCTTAATTACTTAGATATCCTATTTTTTTCATTCCTTGTTTGCGTACTTTTTGTATCACAAGTTACTAATAAACTACAAATTTTCTGCGGTCCTGATCGATACACAATTTGTGGCAATTGCTCGATCTCTAAGGGAATTCTCGCAACACAGCGCGATGAGGTGCAGGCTGCTGAAAAATCTTTCCGCGAGAAATTGTGGACGACGAGAGCACTTACGCTGACTTAGCCGTGGCGCTGATGCCAGCTCCTCGCGGCCTGCTGCGGCACAAAGGGGCTGCTTGGGTAACACTTGCTATGCATCCGAGCGTTGACATTACTTACGATAGAAGGAGTCTTGAAGTTTGAAAGATCTCTGAATTTATCGAGAAAGGTAGCATGCTTGTTCTTATTTGAAATATACACAACAGTCACTGGCAACACTAGAGGCCTTAAATGATGTGTTGCGTTAAATCTGCTTTTCTAGCTTTCTCTCAAAACTTATTCAAATCCCGATATTCCTATCTTATTCCCTTCTCTGATAAACCGCGATAATTGTTTTGACTTGAATGAACTTAAAAAACATCGCGATTTCAGGTGTTTCAGGTAACATCACGACACTGCCATTATCGCGGAACAAAATGCATACCATTAAATGGTGTAAGCCTCCACAAATCTAATAGCTCCCCTCTGTTCTCTTTCCAAGGAGCGGCTAGTCAACAAGTCAGCGCAAGGAAAGCTCCAGACATGTCCCAAAAAAGCTCGCCGAAGAAAAAGCGAGACTGGCGGCAGGTTGAGGTTTAAAATCAAGATCTCCAGTTTAAACCAAATGTAGATGATTCGCAAAATGATCGATAAAATATCCATTTTTGGTAGTAATGAAGTGGGACACATACGCTTTGTAAAATCGTGAAAGCAGAGGATCACAAGAAAGTTCCGGTGGTCGCAGTATGTTTTCCGCCACATTTAAAATCACATAATAACGTTCCTGTTGATACGGAGAAAGCCTGAAAGAGATAATGATAGTTAGCATTATCATACATCTGTTGCAAAAAACGAACCGCCTAGCGATTATTTGCCACATGATGATGCCAAAACTGTAAATGTCACACTTTTCATCGTAGTATTTGGAAGCTCGAATAACTTCAGGAGCCATTGTAATAAGTGTTCCTTTTTCCATAGTCATTGAATCGTGCAAAGTAGTGTAAGTGCCAAAATCACAGACTTTCAAGGTATGAAAACCATTGCAAAGAAGAAGACTGAAAAGATTAGAAGGCATTATGTTGAACCAATGTTGAGGTAGAGAAATTTCACAAACTACTTTGACTTCACTTGAGGAATATCGGTGTCAAGACAAAAAAGTGCAAGGTGTGTTGAAGAAAGTGTATTAAAAGCAAATGAGATCATATTTCCTTGCATATTCCTGAGTAATCAAGGAAAAATTGGCTAATACGAGTTGTTTTCTGTCTTCGCAAAAACGAAGTTTCATAGAATTTGAGAAGGTTTACAAGGTCTTTTCAGCTTACTTCATTCCTTGTCCTTTTTTCAATGATGACATTGACCGAAAACGATCCTGCCTCAAAACTATTCTTTTTCCGACATTAGCTTTTTCTTACAAGTTATTAAGGCGCATTCTCCGCGGATTCGCAACCTTTCGAAGCTGGTAGTCCACGTCTCAAGGGTCCTCAACGGGATAACATATAGGCTGTAGCAATCAGCATCGGTTATGCGACGTCTCGCGGCAACTTGCGACTGTACGGTGTGATGCGTGCGAAATTCGCCACGCGTTTAAGGAACGTCGCATGTGACGATGCGTACTCGCAAGGCATACTAGCGCGGGATCAATGCTACTGATACAGCCTATATCTGATACGAGCTCCTCTGCGAGCGGTCGTTAAAGAATTTCTTTCAGCAAGCGCTGGCCAAATCAGCTCTGACTGTTATTACGCAGTTTCGGGCATACGCCGAGCATAGGTAACCTCTTATGGTAAAGGTGTCATCGCTGGGTTTAATTTCCCAAGTTTAGGGTACTTTCTCTCAGCGGAAGTACCTACAGGCTGTGCGGTCCTTCTAGGACCTTGCGGCCCTCAACTTGCATGTTCTCGAGTCCGCGAGGATGCGGCCACTACGCCACAATCAATTTATAAAAAAGCCGCGTTTGTTCTCTAAGCGTTCGTCTAACAAGTGGCCGACATTCTTTCGAATCTCTGCAAGCGGACCGCAAGATATCAGCAGACTATTTTTTCGGTGCCTGCTTGCCTATAAATAGCATGGCCGCTTATCCTCGGCGATTCTTTTAATACAAATTTTTTAATATATTCTTTCCTTCATGCAGCATATGGTGGATCTTTTTCTAGCTTTCGCTTACATCGTACCTTCGCTCGGAAGCAGCGTCCGGGCAAGTCGTATGAATACTTCTGCTCACCTAGTTTAACCTTTCCGCTGCATTCCAAAAATCATAAAGAGCGCGAAACTGTCAAAAACGATCTTATTCAAAAAAATCTGGATTTTTCATTTGAAGGTATGGACGCAATATCTGCAATGGCGGTGACAACAAAAGGATGAACTATTGCAGCTTTGAGCGGGATGTGTTCGATCTACGTAAGTTGTCGCTCTATCTTGCAGTTCTCAAGTCCATTGCTGTTTTCTCTTCTTCAAAACAGAGTTTTAATGGAAGAGTTGTGCAGGTGAAAAGCCTTACAAGGCCGTTGCTTTTCGTTCCAATTCCTATATCCAAATTCCCCTCAATAATTCCATTCTAGTGACATCCGATTTCACAAAGTACTATTTAGGTACGCTCTTGTGTGCGAACCTTCAACTGCTCAGAATTATCTGTATGAACTTCAAAACTTTACAGAGGGCAGATGGACTACGCGGAGCAGAATTCACCGTGTGTATTAGTGGAAAAGTCATGTAAGAGATACTCACTTTTGTAGCTTCAAATCTCTATGAACTTGCTCCTTACTGTGAAAAAAACTCATTGCATCTGACAATTGATATAGCCAAGAAATAGCGTGATCAACTTCGTATTTGATAGACTGCTTCGAAATAACTAAAATATCATTTTATTATAAACCAAGTGCTATTCCATTGGGAAACTCACGCCATGCAAGACTGCAATCCATCAATTCCATAACTATGCCCATACCATTTAGAGGAGAATTGTGGAGCCCGAAGAATTTTATGCAGTTTTTGTGAGTTTTCAAATAGGTATAAAAGATCTTGGCTTCTCGAACTAAGGCACAGCGACGATAAGCAGAACTTGCGTACTTTATGGCGACGTCTCTGGGAACAAACACATTGAAAGCACAGAAAAGCTCTTGTTTACAAGATAGAAAAGGACTAAGATCATTCCTGCATATATACACGGTGCGCCAAAAATCTTGGTTTACGAAGCCGGTCCACAACAAACAAGCAAGAAACATTCCACAACAAAACAAGCAAGAAATCACATGTCACATGAGGCCGAAGCTTTGCGATGAGCAATTTGAGATTCCAAAACGGTATAACCTTGAATCAGTTGGCTTGGCAACTGGAAGGCGGGGCTTTGTAACCTAATTGAAGCCCCTCGCGCCTGCTACGCAGTCTGCGTCTCTCCCGCGCGCGTGCTCTCCGATCATTACCTTGCCTTGGTTGAGTCACAAGCCCCGCCTTCCAGCCGCGAAACCAGTAGAATCAAAGATTATATTTGACTAGCTGGCATACCCGGCTCCGCCGTATGTTCCGAATAGAAAATTCCATTTCTTAACCGATCCGAACCAAACTTGGCACACATACACTTCGGGCCCCGGCGGGTGTCACAGTCCACTTTTCGTTATCGATTGATGTCGATTTTATCGATTTTTTGCAAAATTTGAGACAGGGGGCTTGGATTTGGCACAGGGGGGTAATCGAGCATGCTGATTACGAATACAATATTAGTTTTCGAAACCGTGCATTACTTTTATCGATTTTATCGATTTTTTTGCAAAATTTGAGCTAGGGGGCTGGAATTTGGCAGGGGGTGTAATCGAGCATGCTGATCAACCCCACGGGGGTGTCGCATGCTCGATTACCCCCCTGTGCCAACTCCCAGCCCCGTAGCTCAAATCGATAAAATCGATATAGATCGACGACGAAAAGTAGCCTATGACACCCGCCGGGGCCCGTAGTGTATGTGTGCCAAGTTTGGTCCGGATCGGTCCAGAAATGGAATTTTCTATTCGGAACGTACGTACAGACAGACATACAGACAGACAAACAGACATTCAGCTTTATATATAAGATGTATGGTCTCTGAGAAGCAATATTCAAGAGATAAAAACGCATTTTCTCTCTACTGTGTCTTATTGCGATTGTTTTTCAAATCGCAACTAAAGTTTTCGCAAACTTTCAAAGTACTGCTGTCTTTTTGTAATATACTGTTGATTTAGCACGATGCAGAAGGATACGATAACATAAAAACAAAAAATTTGTGAAAAATGTCATTTTACAGAATAACCCCTCATTACTACACTCTTATAGCGAAAACACCTTCTAACGATGTAAAAACGTTGCAGTGTTCTAAATAGGCACTATGTCTAATGGTTCCAGGCTGTGTTTCTGTGAAAAAAACAGAAGCGATAAGGGGATTTACTTTGTGAAATGATGATTTTCGCAGTTCTTGTTTTTGCATCTCCATGCGAGATTGAAGCGTGCCAAAGTAGCATATGGACTTTTGTTATGTAAGAAACTTTCACAGATTTTTTTGGGCTAGCTGGCTGCCCTCCGCCATTTTCTGGCAGCAAACTCAAAATCACAGAATTTGAAACGCCATTTTCGAAAGCTTCGTTCTTGGTGGCGAATCATAGAATGTTATGCTTATACATCTATTATCAAGCGAGAACCTTCTATTATTCGCGGGATACTGAACCAGGACTTGGCACGGGTGGTTTACGGGGCAAGCTGGATATCATCTCAGTATAAAAGGCAAAGGAAATGTTGTTTAAAAGAACCCTAGCCCCCCCCCCCAAAAAAAAACAGTCGCCTTCTCCCTTTATGTCACCTTTCAGCTTCTGTAGAGGGCGCAAATTCTCATCCCTGCCGCAACGGTCCCAACGTTTCCTGCAAAAACCAAAAATTTCCTGTTTCAACACGTTCGCCGGTTGAGCGCGCGAATTCAAATCGGCCCGAAATAAACAAAAGACTTGTTTACAGAGAGAAGAAAATGAAATGACATCAAAACTGATGTCTGGATGAGCAATGGGGACTTAGGACTATGCACGAAAAATTATGGAAAAATTATGTGAACTGAAAGCGTGGCAAACTTTGAGTTAGGTAGCTGTAAAAATCATAAATTTTCCTTCCTTCACATAATTTTCTCAATTTAACATAACTTTGTTCTACATCAAAAAACCTACAGCTGAGTTTTTTTAGTCTCCCTAAACCCCTCTTCCTCGCCCAGTTACAGCACTCCAAATATATTGTATGGTGGCGGCAAGCCTGCTCCAAGCGCGACAGGGTGCACGCCGAACACAGCTTGCCGCCAATTCAGAAAACACTAACATTTTTAGTTCTTTTTTGTCTGTATAATGTTGTTTTATATTTTGTTTCATTATTTCTCGCTAACCGTTATGATCCATTCGCGATCGCGCCATAGGTGATGTCGTATTTTTGTGCCGAAGTCTACAGGGATTTCGTTTTTGAAAAATTGAAAAAGCCACCTCATGCCGAGCCCTGTACTGAACTATGAATTCAAGTTTACTTTTTAAAAAGTTACTGAGTTTCCTTGGAATTACGCAAGAACTTCCGTGCCAACCTAATTTATACATCCGTTCTATGCACATCAGCTCCAAAAATAACATTAAAGAAGAAAAACACACAACCACAGTCGACCCCGATTCGATATGCATCATGAAATAGAGACGACGAAGATGAAGAAGAACCTTGAAGATCAAGATTTCTCGCACATCTGCTTAAGCTCTTTACGTTTCAACATTAAACACTTATTCGCTCATAACCAAGCTGACTAGAAGAAATGGTGTCCTTGTGCTCATGTGTTTGATTTTGTTTACACTCCTGCTACTTGAAGAACTCCAATCATTTGATTCACATTCTGTACAAATGTTGTGAAAAGCACAATAAATACCATTCAAATGCTGGTAAGTATTAGGTTCTAAAGAAAGTTCTCGGGCAGTTTTGGAACATTTTCAAACTGTTTCTTGCACTCGGTCAAATTTTTACTGTTCAGTTTTTGCACTTTTTGTAGTAGAGGGCTTAGGCTTTGTAACAACCATTCTTTTCCTCAACGCCTAATCGTATTTGATCTAGATGATGCTAAGAAAGAAAACCTATTCAAGGGCTAAAATTTTGAAAAAAATTTCTTTCTATTGCCAACTGTTCGCCTAATCAAGCAGAGTCGTCTAACTCTTGTATTCAAATGAGGAGCCTGTCGACTACAAGTCCGCAGCTGCTCTTAAGATTTGCTGTAAGCGCACAAAAGTTACATTCCAACTTTCCTCTGACGGCAACTCTTTTCGCAGCTGGCGTCGATTCTGTGCGGATCGCTGCGCCTAGGTGATGGATCCAAAAGATGCGCGAGGCATTACCCAAAACAATATACGCAGCAATCAAAGATTTGGCTCGTTCCGTGCAAAAAGTGAAGGATTCCAAATCATTCACTCAGAAAATGGGGCATTTTCGAAATGCAAAAATGGCCAATTTTTCAAACTTTTTGGGAAGATTTTTTTGCAAGGGTTGCCCTACAGCCATGATTTATCCTATCAACAGCCTCGGTGGATTCCTGTATAGCTAGTTAATACGGGCCTCTCCAGCTCTCTTTGTGCCTGAGAAAATCATGCAGAACAGGATAATTTTCAAGTCGACCTTTTACCTTCTGCGATGCTTGAGGCCTGAAATGCAGTGCTGAAGACGTAATAAAATGCGCATATCTTGTAGACAACACACGTTCTTTGCACCGGAATTTGCAACTCTCAAGAAGGATAAATCTGCATGAATTTATAGCCGTTTGAAGAAAAAATCCGCAAGTGCCCGGAACCTTTCTTTACAACTTAGTACGTATAAATCGAAAACATGGGTATGAGATGCATTCCAAAGATTTCCGAGGGAACAGCGGTAAGCGCAAGATGCGTAGTTGATTATCACGACAACACTATGTCTCGTGCTAAAGCTCAGATATTCTCCCGGTCTGCATGAATGCGGGAGAGTACATTGTCTTAGGCAGTCTCTCGATCAAAATGCCGGTCCGGAGCTTCTCGCGAAAGATTTGATTAAGTCTCCAATCATTCTGCCGCCACATGAGTTTTCTATGCGCGCGAGTCAACCACAAATATCTGAAGAGCCGCTATGTTTGTTTGAAGCAGATGATTTTGTGCATACTGCATTTTCACGTCTTCAAATTAGTCTACCGAGGCATCAGCTACTATTATTGCCTCATTCAAAAAAGCGTCTAAAGAGAATTCATAAACCTACTTCCACTGTAAGTCACTGTTATCGAGGTATTTACATTTGATTACGCGACCGAATGTCCCTTCACCCAGCAGCGTGCTATCCAGATCGTCGACTTGACTGCAATTGAATGATCTATAAAGCACAGATACACGAAGATGATGTAATTTGCAAGAAAAAAATGCTCGTTTTCTTGGCTAAAAGGCAGAATTAAACTTGCATTTCTTTAAGACAGTAAAAAAGTCCTTTCGAAGCATTCTGATAAGCGAAATGTTATAGCCTTGCTCCATGAAAAGCTGTTTTTAACGAAGATATACCCTATAAGAAGCGCCAAAACGTAATGACGGTACCAAATCTTCCTCCATCTTTGTGGGGTTGGGGGGGGGGGGGGGGGGGAAAGGTGGATATTCGACGTGCTGCACCTCACCCTTGACCCTTTGAAGTTCTGATGCAGCGTGAACTAAGAAAGAAGGATTGTAATCGGCTCTAAATCACAATTATTCTTAGAAGTGTTCTTTCAGACTAAGCCGTTGAAACGGCACACGAGCGCCTGCAGAGTTGCCCGTGTGATAGTGCTGTGCCGGCGCGTGTACTCGCCCCAATCAATCAGATTCCAGCCAAAGTGAGAACAGTGGAGAACAATGGAGCTGGCACGGGCAACTCTGGACGAGCCTTAGGGTGCTATCATTTTATACAGGACTAGCTGGCTTACCCGGCTCCGCCGTATCCGGACCAAACTTGGCACACATACACTTCGGGCCCCGGCGGGTATCACAGTCCACTTTTCGTTATCGATCGATGTCGATTTTACCGATTTTTATCGATTTTTTTGCAGAGTTCACCTACAGGGCTAGGAGTTGGCACAGGGGGGCAAGTGAGCATGGGGATTCCGAATACAATATTAGTTTTCAGAATTATCGATTACTTTTATTGATTTTATCGATTTTTTGTAAATTTTGACATGCGAGGCTGGGATTTTGCACAGGGGGGTAATCGAGCATGCTGATTACGAACACAGTATTAGTTTTCAGGATCGTCCATTACTTTTATCGATTTTATCGATTTTTTTCGTAAAGTTGACCTTCGGGGCTGGGAGTTTGCACAGGGGGTAATCGAGCATGCAGATTACGAATACAATATTAGTTTTCAAGATCGTCCATTACTTTTATCGATTTTATCGATTTTTTGAAAATTTGAGCTAGGGGGCTGGAATTTGGCACAGGGGTGTAATCGAGCATGCTGATCACCCCCCTTGGGGATGATCAGCATGCTCGATTACCCCCCTGTGCCAACTCCCAGCCCCGTAGCTCAAACTTTGCAAAAAAATCGATAAAATCGATGAAAGTGATCGATAATCCTGAAAACCAATACTGTATTCGGAATCCCCATGCTCGATTACCCCCCTGTGCCAACTCCCAGCCCCGTAGGTGAACTCAGCAAAAAAATCGATAAAAATCGATAAAATCGATATCGATCGATGACGAAAAGTAGCCTATGACACCCGCCGGGGCCCGTAGTGTAAGTGTGCCAAGTTTGGTCCCGATCGGTTCAGAAATGGAATTTTCTATTCGGAACATACGTATAGACAGACATACATACAGACAGACATACATACAGACAGACATACATACAAACAGACATTCAGCTTTATGTATAAGATGTCCTAAGAAAATGTGCACACTGTTTGATCGTTAGTAGTTAAGTTCCTTGCTTTGATATCTTTCGCTGACTTTTAAGTACCATTGGTACCATTCTTTAGAGCGAGGTTCAACTTAGACTTACAGTGTAAAGCAAATCAGCGATCGGTCTTTGTTTCTGTAGAGTTAGTAAGAACTTCCAGCATAAGGAACCATTGTGAATTATGTCATCTGACAAAAAAAAAATTTAAAAAATTTGAGAAATCGTGTAGTAGGGTGCGCGCAGGCAGATTCCACTACTCAAATTTTTACGAGTGTTTTAGCTTTTTTTTGACGGTGTAATCACATTTCTGACAAATGCTGGGAATTCACGGTTTACGTGGGATAACTTAGAAAAGAAGCATCACAGTAAAGTGGAAGTTTTATATTCGAAATTAGCGGCTTCCATTACCATAGTACAGAAGTTTTTAACTTGTTTGGTTTTGTTCCGAGGCAGAATATGGCCTCCAATGGCCTAAAATCTTTATCGAAGTTCCTACTGCGATCCTACAATAACGAAGAGAGTTTAAGTTGAGCATTGCTCTAGAAAATGGTAACTAAAGATAGGCGAAAGACATCAAAGCAAGGAAGTTACTAACGATTAAACAATGTGCACATTTTTTGGAACACACTTTATATAAAGGTGAATGTGTCTGTATGTACGTATCGTCGAGTCATTGTAACTTAATATACGTAGTGCACCCCACACACGCTGACTGACGAACTGTGAAACTAGAAGGTGCTCATTTCCTATGATTTTTCCTTGTTTCTTTTGTTTTAGCTGGTTATATGTTAATCAGTAGAAGTGCCATCGCTAATAGATCTTAGTGTGCAATCTTACATATTAAGTTAAAAATGACTCGAGGTTATGTGCGAAACAGATATTTTTATTTCTGAACCAATTCAGACCAGATAGATACCTGACCAGAAATAGAAATTTTTGTTTTTGAACCAATTCAGACTAGATTTTACACACATGCCTCGGGGCAGAAAGCGTGCCGTAGGCTACTTTTCGATATTGATTGATACCAAATTTATAAATTGTTTGCAAACTTTAAGCTATGGGGCTGGGAGTTAGCACGGGGGGGGGTAGTGAGCATGCTGATTACGAGTATAACAATCGTTTGTATTAACAGCGCCGGGCGGAGCCGGGTATGTCAAGTAGTAGCCTATAATTCAGGCTAGTAGGTCTAACGGTAATTAGACTGTAGCTGAAAATATTGGTGCTCAAGAATTCCAGCTCTTCCCTCGGAAAAAAGTCTTTAATCTCATCGTGAAATAGTTGGGGGAACTATCTAGTCTACCTTCGGCCCTCAGCATAGCCTCATTCGAATAGCACGCAGTTGGATCTAGTCTAAAGTTGGTCTCTGCTTCAACATTATGCAGGAAGTTCAAGCTGGTATATTGCATCTCAGCATTCCAATTCTTTCAGGTGAGGGCTTCTAGAGTGAAACTTCTAGCCCTCGTAGCCGTAAACTACTACTTCATAGCTACGCAAACGTTCCAAAAAACCGTTGAAAACAAATCTGCGAGATAGATAACATTTTCCACTTTTCCAAAGGGTCCTCCCTCCCAGAGAATCCGGAATTTCCAGTATTACTAGCTAGCACACTCGCCACCACCGCTGCGAAAATTCGGGGGGAGGGGGAAGGGTTTATTAGTACTAGCTGCCATACCCGGCTCCGCTCGGTTCAATGTATAAAAATGTTCAGATTCCATGTACGACTTTCGATGAACCTCGATATGATAGCAGTAGTGAAATGTCTGAGCCTCACCAAGATGATATAACGTTTCTAGGCTAACGTTTTGGCCAGCTCGCCTTTAGAGCCCGTAAGTGAGTAACATATGAGGTCTACTCGCTCGACAAATTCCATCTTGCAGGAAGAAAACAAAAAGTTGCATGAAAGGACACCTAGGTCGAACAGCTCACCTTAAACTTGAGGTCGAGACCACGCACCCATCGAGTGACATGCAATGACCGACAAGGGAACGACACTTGGTGTCCGTGGCCTTTTGAGATGATGTTGTACACCATTACACCCGTCTTGGAGTGCTGGTTCCGAATCTGACTTCCGTTTTTGCTAATCGTTTTTCTAAAAAAGTTATGAAGATTTTTGCACCAAGGGAAATATGGTCGAAATGCCAAAACCGCCGCTACGATGTGGTGTAGTGGCTAGTGCGATAGTCCCACAAATCAATGCAGTTTAGGTCGAGGCCTTTTGTGTTTTTCAGCTTTGCATTCCCTTGATCAATCTTCTTTGAAAGTTAGGCATACTCGAACGTATTGCTTTTGAGCGACCATTGATGCGAAAATCGTACATAACTTCTTTTAGAGAAACGATCAGCAGAAATGGAGGTCAGATTCGGAATCAGCGTTCCAAGGCGAGTGTGATAGTATACGTCTAATCTCAAAAGGCCACGGAAACCGAATATCGTTCCCTTGTGAGTGAGTTAGGGTTCCTGACTTAGGGCCGCATGCACTAACCTCCCCGCGGGGAGGTTAGTGCATGCGGCCCTTAGAGGGAATGGGTAGGGGAACGAAAGCCGCCAATTTGAGCCGCCTCCGCGGACTGCTGGTCCTGAGACGACATGCAACCACATTGCGAAAGGACCAGTTGGCCGCGAAAGGCGGCTCAAACTGGCGGCTTTCGTTCCCCTACCCAGAGGGAATAGGTCACACCCGCATAAGTCGAAAAACGGCGCGAGCTCATTAGTTATGGCATGCACTCAACTTTTCCGTTCATCTGTGGATTTCTATTCGAAATCCAGGCCTCTAATTTTTGCGCGCCGCAACCTCTGTTTCTATAGAGAGACTTGACAATGGGACGTCGAATTCTGTGTTGTGAAGCTGCAGCTTATGATGTGTGCCTAGGGGTGTTGGAAAACTCTGATTTGCGCAACCCGTTCAAGTGTCTCTTCGACCGCAGGCACAGTGGTCTCTCTGTTTCTCCTATGTATTCAACCCCGCACAACTTGCAAGCAATCAGGTATATCACGCCAGAGCACATACAATCTCTAAGCCTGTTGGTAGTGCAGATGATGCAGTTTTTTGCTTCACCGGTTCTGCCGTATGCCTGTTGCAAACTAAACGTTGCCTGAGATTAGAAAGAGGAACTTCCACTACTCGCAGCGAAACTTGCAAGCCTGATTTTCGCACGCACTCTCTGATTTCGCTACTAAACCTATCTGATATGAACAGCATGCAGAATGATACCTTTTCTTTCTCATCAGGGAAATTACCAAGCAGTCTGCCGTTACAGCGTATTCTTGCGCTCCTACATGGAGTATCGATTTCCTGCCCTATCTAAATGGCCTTTTGAACCGCTGCAGCTTTGAGATAGTCATCCGATGATACTGCTTTAGCCGTTCGCAACCCAATAACGCTTTGCTTTGTGCGTACAGGATGCGCAGAAGAGTGAGGTATGAATATTTTCTGTAGTGTGCTTCATGTATCAGCTAGTCTTAATTTAGAAATGGAAGCCAGCCATTTTTTGGCTTTTCCCTGGTGAACGACTGCCGTGTTAAGTAGGTTGAAACAAACATCTATTTCTGCCTAAGTCGAACACACGATGAGGCAGTCATCGATGTAACGACAGTAGAGAGTAGGCGTGTTGCATAAAACTGGATGTTCTACTTTCGACATGATGGTAACAGCCAACACCGGTGCTAAGCGTCCCATAACAAGCCACCTGATCTGCCGGTAGTACTGCCCGGACAAACGAAATATTGCGCCATCGTCGCTGGATTGTGAAAACGTACAAGCTTATATTAGGTTGGTGCAAAAGTTCGTTCGCACCATTTTCAAAAATTCATAACTCCTTAAATTTTTAACGAATTTGTACGCTCAAATTTTTTCTTAAGAGAGGAACTCATGCTCTTTGCATCTGTGCCTGAGCTGTTCGTTAATGTATACAAAGGAAGGAGATAGAAGCTTAAAACCAAAATCACTCAAAATTTGAATTTTTCGTGTAGGGTCATAAAAAATCGGAAACTTGCGATAAAAATCGGAGCAGTCAGTATTGTAGGCTCTTTCACAAGCTCTTTCCAACGGTGCAAAGTTTGTGCCGATTGAGCGTGTCTGTTAAAAGTTATGATTTTCGAGCAAGCAATAGAAAAAGGCGAATTTGATTTATTTTGGCATTTTTCAGGGAATTCACAACTTTTCACAGAGACGCTCAATCGGCACGCTTTGCACCGTTGGAAAGAGCTTCTGAAAGAGCCTACAATACTGACTGCTCCGATTTTTATCGCAAGTTTCCGATTTTTTATGACCCTACACGAAAAATTCAAATTTTGAGTGATTTTGGTTTTAAGCTTCTATCTCCTTCATTTGTATACATTAACGAACAGCTCAGGCACAGATGCAAAGAGCATGAGTTCCTCTCTTAAGGAAAATTTTGAGCGTACAAATTCGTTAAAAATTTAAGGAGTTATGAATTTTTGAAAATGGTGCGAACGAACTTTTGCACCAACCTAATAGTTGTGACATTTTCACACAACACCTTAAATACTGTTTGTAGCGCGGCAGAGTTTGACACATTTGTATAGAGAGAAGTGACATCAGAGGTTTCAACGACTTCGCCTGCAGTGAAGCGTGTTCCGTAGATGGTCCAATAAAGCACTTGTACTAGTCAGGTGCGCTAGGACATATTGCAATAACTGTGTAAGGATAAGATTGAGAAGCCAAGTGATCCTGCCCGTAGGACTTCCGACGTGCTTATAATGGATCAAAATATGAAGTTCGCTAGGTCTCGAGAAGACGGCAACCCAGGGGGTGTCTTATGTGTTTTTATGAGGAACTAGCTGGCTTACCCGGCTCCGCCAGGTCCTGTCAAGACACTATAATAAAACTCTCATCCCTATCCCTGTACAACTTTCCCTCTGCCCACTTCCACACATCAACTCCAACTCCGTATTCCCGCTGTGCTAGTTACCAGCTCACTTATCCCTGTGCGAATTTTCAGCCCCCGTAGCTCAAATTTTATAAAAAAAAATCGATAAAAAGATATAAGTAATGGATAATTTCAAGAACTCATACTGTATTCGTAATCAGCGTGTTCGATTACCCCCCCTGTGCCAACACCCAGCCTCGTAGCTTGAACTTTATACAAAAAATCGATAAAAATCGATGAAATGGATATCGATCGATGATAAAAAGTAGCTTACGACACCCGCCCCGCCGCGATGTGAGGGCCAAGTTTGGTCCGGATCGGTTCAGAAATGGATTTTTCTATTCGGAACATACGTACAGACAGACAGACAAACAGATAGACATACACACATGCAAACAGACATTCAGCTTTATATATTATACATAAGATAGAGGGCAGAACAAGCTGGTAGATCAGATTTCAAGCGTGACACTATGGTTTAGACAGGCCGGCCGCCCGCGCTGTTTCTACCCATAGTCTGTTGAGTTCCGATAGTGTCTAGTGTATTCCTTTTCCGACGATTCGCAATATGTCGTTGCGTCCATGTTGTTTTGTAATCGCCATCTCCATCCCTTTGGATAGTATCACAAATTTGCTGCCCTTATCACCGACTGCTATTTTGATATTATTTGAGGTAGCTAAATTCCCGAGTTCTCTGAGACCTCTCTTTTGCGCAGCTAATAAATTAGGCGCCTGGCGCATAAGTTCGTATCGTTTGAATACATAAAAACCGATGTTGCGAAAACCCGGAAAGGTGTGTCTACTGATGGTCCTGGCTCTTGCGGCTCAAAGACATGGATGGGAATGGCACACTAGGCAAGGTGGTAGTTGTCGATTGATGACTGGCTTGCTGCGTTTCTAATTTGGCGCGGTATCGCAGACGATCTTGTATGTACTGAAGGTTACCCATAAATTTGCGTGCGACCCGGAGCATACTGATTGCGTTAGCGAAAAGATTCGAGATTGAGCAAAGAACGCGCATTGCTGGACAACGTGGCATTGCCAATGGTGGTAACGCGCGAGGATTCAACTCACTGTTATTGCCATTTACAAAGTGTTGGTGATCTTACCTTGAATTAGTAGCTGTGGGTGATAAACAAGACAACCAGCCTGCGCGCTATAAACAAGACAACCAGCCTGCGCGCTAAGCTCGCGGATTTTAAAGCAAGAGGGCATGCTGTGCGATTGAAGTTGCGCTGTTTTCAAAGTTTGAGTCATGCAAACTACCACAACAAAGCAGAAGAATTAGCCTTGCCGAGCCACTGCTGTCAATAAAGAGAACTTTCTTACCTTAAAGGGATCCGCGGAATGATAAATGTATTGCACAGGGCCTGGTCCTGATTTGCTTTAGTTACGCGGTTTACAAGGCGACGTTTTCTAGTTGATGTGGGGGCTCTGTCATCCATCCTGAGACTAAGAGACTTAAGAAGGCTCCGCACACGTTCGACAGCAAGTTAACAGTGTTCTACCTTATGGGTGGTTCGATACATGAATTTTGAGAAGAACCATCATTATATGGCTTGAAGGCGAAAGAACATGTCTGGAAATCAATTACACTCCCTTTCCTTGATGTACTGACATAAAGTTTCTCACAAAGAATAAAAGATTTGAGACGAAAGAAAGGTGCAAGTAACTCTTAAGATTAGCTGCATTTTACAAGGTTGATTATAGTTGTGGCTACTTACTATTAGGTTGCTAGAATTTCGTTTTGACATAAAAAAATCTTCATAAAAGCTTTTCTAGTTGTTTTTCATCCGTGATTCTTTGTAGAAAGTAGCTTGCAACTCTTTATTTATATATCTAATCAGAATTTTCTGTCATTAGTAAGGTTCACTGCGCCCCGGCAGGGGTAAAAATACAAAAGCTCAATTCTGCGACTTCCTAAGCTTCTTTTTCATGTTGTGATGGCTGTAGAGAATAGCAGTTTGGTCTTCGGATACAGATAAGTTTTCCTTTTTAGCGAATAGCAGAAAAAGTTGTGATCTGCCGTTCTACAAAATTCTTTGACCAAAAGCCTGATTTTCTCATATTTGCGCACCATGAAAAAACTGGTATTTCTCATTTCTTTGCGGAAATTTCATTGAAAAATAAGTTCGACTCGGCAAAATTTATATCTCAATTATCGATGAAGTGTTTTTTCCAGTTGTCTCCAGTACTTGTAGAAGCTGCAAAAACGATCAAAATTATTCATTAGCCAATGCTAATTTCTATATTATAAAAAGTGATACCGGCTGTGGTGATGATTTCACAGCTTTTGCCTTTGGAGATCCCGACAGAACTTTTTTGCTGAGAAGTGCTCTGGGAGCTCCGCTCGCAGGTCTCCCATTTCGGCGTGCTTTTCTTGATCCCGCTATGATTTCTTTTACGCGGAGTTGTGTTAGTGGTTCTCCATTTTGAAAGGGCTTTAAACATGGATAACAACAATGGATGACATGCATAACAAGGATAACAACCTGATTCAATAAGATGCTTTCAATGTCTAGACCGAACACGATAAATTGCAACGTACTTCTTCTAGTCTTCTATGATGGAAATTCGCACTTTTCAGTAGCTTTAGACCCTTCTTGCTCAGATTTCCAGGTGATAGTTCACTTATTCATAATGAGAATGTGAAAACACATGAATAGCTTTGAAAGTTACAATTGCTTTCGCAAACAAAAGTTGAGTAGCTACTATGTCGACCAGTATTCAGCTCAAGAACTGCTAAGCAAGCTCGCTGTAATTTTGGCCTAAATCGTTTCGTTTGTACTCAGTTGTTCGCGCTAGTCTGATCAAGGGATATTTGGTAATTGTGGCCATTTGTGACAAGACGTCCATAAGACGCATCTCCATACGCTAACTCCATATCTATGTCAATTATTTGCGAAACGCTTTCTGAAGGAATTTATGAGCGTTTGTAGTTGTGAAACTGACATAACTCCAAATAATCGTCAGCTTTGAAGAAAGTGTCTAATTTATGACTTAAGGGCAGCTCGGCAGAATTAGAACTTTGACTGTTTATCGCTCTCGGTTCTCCTGGATGAGCTGAGTCTAAGATGTGCTTTGCAACTTTAGAACATATAAATAAACCTCTTTTTCAGACGTGAAAAGCTTTTTGGACGGACGGCGTAAGCCTGCCCTCTAGAACGCGATCGGTTCATGAGTGGACACACCATACCTATCTCAGCGGCAATTGGATTCTTGACTCTAGCAGCCACTTTCGCGACCCGCCCAAACAGCGTTTTCACGTCTGGAAAAGCGGTTATTGATATCTTTCGAAGCTGCAAAGCACAATCTTGGACTCAGCTCATTTAGAGAGACCGAAAACGACGAACATCCCAAAGTTGTCAATCTGTCGAGCCGCTGCCTTTAACACTATCGAGACAAGATAATGAGCACTATTACCAAATCATTCGAATTTTGCAGACTTCTGAGCAAAGAATCGCATATCGATAACACTAACCCTTACAAATGTCCTTGAAGGAAGTACCATGTTTTCGTACAGATAATCGTTTCATGGATAGCAGATACAGACTCTCAAATTGTATACAAAGATCCATTTGATCAAATCTTTTTGGAAATGTCCACCATTGAGTGTCCTTCTAGAGCCCCAATTCTTACGTCCCGATCTGGCACTAATTCCCGCACGCAAATCAGAAAAAATGGAAATGTATCACTTGTTTATTCTACGCATATTCCCACCATCTTTCCCATATACCCTTCTCCAAAACGCTACTATTTCTTTCAGTTAAACAGGTCAAAACATTTAACGCCAGCCGCGGTAAAGCTGCTTTGAGAGCTTGGTCATATTAGCGCGGATACAGCGCAGAAATCAGTCAATCCCAAGTGAATGACTAATTTGTGTCAATTCTTTCACCGATCTATTAGGTTGTCCGGAAATTGATGCCCATTTCAAATTTCAGCAGCAGTAAATTAGAATTGTTCGTTCCCAAGTAGTACCATCTAGAGCGAAACAAGCTCTACAGTATGGTACGGCAGCGACGCCCCAAAAAATTTTTTTACAAGATTAAATCGAATTTTGCAGAACTTTAAAAAATTTTCATTTTTACAAGAATGAACAAGTCACTTGCACATTTTTATAACGCATGTAAGATGCTCAAAAATTTCGCGATCTATTCTCAGGGGGGGGGGCCACCCCCCTGGTCCGCCACTGTGTCGCTATGATTTTTCCTCGTTCAAAAATTAAGGAAACAACGATTTTCATGCCTCTATCAAAATGATACTGTGCATTCGCACATAAGTAATTTACAAATCTGCAGAGGTAAAAACGTAAGTTCTTACAAAGAAAGGGACAGGAATCGAGGTGGCCAATCGAAACAAGCTCTACTTAATAGATGCAGCATAAAACATTGAATCCGAATCTGTGTTACATATCTGTTCAGCGCCTATGTGTGCGAAGTATGAGCCGCTAAAGGGTGTTATTTGGCTAAGAAATTATGGCATGTAAAGCGCACCGTGATGTTGGCCCAAAATATGCAGCTAGATTACTTTACATTCCAAAGTACACAGTGGTTCCATGTTTTGCTTTCTTTAAACCTGGGCATCGTAAGCATTTTTCAAGTGTTCTGAACCACACAGTTTTTTGGATGGTCTTTATTTATCCACATGGCCTAACGTTTGGACGCCTTCGTCTTCCTTAGAGACCTGAAAGTGTTTGAAACGTTATACGTGACTCCAAGCCACCAAACACCCCCCCCCCCAGTCCGGCTAGTTCTCAACCTTCGCTCAGCTTGTCTACTATAAAAATGTCAGGACAGAAGATGAGCGTACCGAAAGACCACCGCTATATATGGTATTCCGCACCGGATTGATGGCCGTGGCGGAAGAATAAACTATACCATAAATGACAGTCGAATGTGAACTACAGATCGCATAACGATTGAACGGAAGGAAGTCAGAGGTTATCGATCTTAGCTTGTGAAAAGGAGATCTTGGCTAGAAAAGCATTAGAGGCTTTCTGGATCTCTGCAAAGAATCCAGAAATGAGGTTATTGACAAGCATTCGTTTACTTATTTATTTATTTAACTATAAAGTCGACATCCAAATGACTCTAGACGAGGAGGATCAATAATTTCAGCGGTCGACCAAAATCTTATACGTCTTTCGAAAACAATACCCCCTGTTTAGGGCCAACGAGTCCGCCTGCAAAGGCTAGCTGGCCATAACCCAAAGAGAAAAATAAAGGTTATAAAGGTTTTCGAAAGGACAATAAGGCATGAAAGAAGGGAAAAGTACAATAAAACCCTCGGAAGAGGGGAATGATCACCAAGAAAAAAAGATCGAAATGACCACAGGAAGAACACTGTAGCAAAGAAAAAGGATAATTCGAGAGAGTTGCAATACAAAATGGTAGAGAATCACTGGAGGTAGATACTTTTCTTTCTTGATTCTTGATTCGGGGAACAGAAATAAAAACATCGAAAATAACGAAGAATTTCGCCTTCTGGGAGACCAAACCATACATGAGTTAGAATTCGTTGCGGAGAAAGGAAACGTCGAAATCACAAAAAATTTTCTGGAAAATGGTAGTCAGAATAACCCCTGTGATTTCAGAAATTTTTGAACTTCTCTATTGAAAACGAATGTAGATCTCGTGGTGATAGCTTCCATTGGGAGCACATTCCATGTTTTGATAACACGCACTAGGAAAGAGTTATAGTATTGCTGATTCCTCACTTTCCCTACTACAAGCCTGAACATGTGTCCTCTAGTGTAATTGTTGAAATTCGATAGATTGAAAAAATCTTGCGTTTCCAATTCAATCCTATTGGTCATTATTTTGAAGACAAGCTTTTGGTCATAAAGGGTACTTCTAAATGCAAGAGTAGTAGTGGCTAGAATAGAGAGCCTAGATTTGTATGACAATCGGAATATTCCCGCTCGGGCAAAAATTCTGGCAGTGCACGATCTCTGGACTCTTTCAATAATTTCCGTAAGGGTTATCTCAGAGGGAGACCATAGTGGAGTGCAATATTCCAAAAGAGGACGAACATAGATGACGAAAAGGCGAAAGAGAATTTTTACATTAGTAGCTTTGAACCCACGAAGGATGTGATTGCACCTGGCGTGAGCGGCAAGCAATATCTCCTATGTATTTCTCAAACTTCAGTTTGTCAGAGTAGATCACACCAAGGTCCCTGGCACTGCTAACTGTTTGAAGCTCATGTGTCCCAATACGAAAGGAACACTGGCGATGTGCATGTCCAATAGCCATGATAAAGGTTTTTTCCGCGGAAATGTCAAGCTCCCATTTGTCGGACCACCTCTCTATCGCATCCAAGGCGCGCTGCATCAGACCAGGGTCGTCGTAGCAGTAGAGTTTTGTATCATCAGCATATATAGAGCAATGTACATCATGGGGAATGCATGACGGCAGATCGTTGATGTAAAGCAAAAACATCAAAGGCCCCAAGCAAGTACCCTGCGGTACACCACTTGCTGTTGTATAGATTGAAGAAAACGATTCATTGACCCGCACTCTTTGCGTGCGCTCAAGCAGGAATGCTTTGAGGAATCGCAATAAACAGCCTTTAATGCCGTAAGCCTCTAATTTTGTAAAGAGAAGAGATAAGGTCACGGAGTCAAAGGCTTTCTTATAATCTACTAGCTGGCAAACCCGGCTCCGCCCGACCCTGTCATTATATTCGTAATCAGCATGCTCGATTACCCCCCTGTGCCAACTCCCAGCCCCGTAGCTCAAATTTTGCAAAAAATCGATAAAATCGATATCGATCGATAACGAATAGTAGCCTATGACACGCTCCCTGCCCCGAAGTATATGTGTGCCAAGGTTAGTCCAAATCGGTTCAGAAATAAAAATTTCTATTCCGCACATACGTACAGACATACAGACAGACATACAGACAGACATACAGACATTCAGCTTTATATATAAGATATAGCAAACTGTTAGAACTCTTTTTTCATTGACTGCTCTCTGCCACAAGGGTACCGTTGACATTTAAGCTGATAATGTAGTTCTTTTGGGTAGAAATCCATGTCGTGCTTTGTGCACAGGATGATTGCTAGTAAGAAATGCACAAATCTGTTTACAAATTATTCTTTCAAAGACTTTGCTCACTGATGATCTTTGCAAAGATCCAGAAAGCCTCTAATGCTTTCCTAGCCGAGGTCTCCTTTTCATAAGCTGAGATCTTACAAAAGACATCCGTCCTACGGTGCTAGACTTGTAATTTTAAAACTGCATAGTTTGAAGTATAAACATGTTGTTAGCGATTTGGTGTTCTGCTTTTGTATCCTAAAATTAGAAACGAAATTGCGAGCAAGTAAATACTGAATCTTTAGGCCCAGTGGAAAGCGTACAGGTGGGTTTAATTTGCACTACAGAAAGCTAGGTGAAAAAGGCTTTTTGCAAACTTCAGTTCATATTGTGGTTAAGCCTTTTACCTCAGGAAGTTATTTCTAGTAAAGCGCATCCTCTTTTCGTAAGAAATTGGGATTTATAAATGTACTGGAATATTTGCATATAGCTGATATTTGGTTTGGGTCTTCTTATCGTTCTATTCTCCTCTACATTGATTCTTGCCAGCTGTGTTGTTAAAGTTGGTGACAACGGTTCATCGAGTCATTGTTCTTCGACCTGCGCGGATTGATATTCTCAATCATTTTTTTTCATATCGAGATTACCAAATGCCTGTTCAGAATCTTCTATTTTCGTTAAATCTCTTTGATGTATTACCAACTTCACTGACATCTTATGTTGGTGTTTACCAACAAAGGGCGCGCCTCTGAGCGTAGTATGTAAATATAAATATGAATATGTCTTCTCCACTATACGCCTCGCTTCTATGCCTGCCTAAAGCTGAGATAGGGTTTTACGCTTTTTATCTGCTAGATGTTCTTTGATGCGAGTACTGAGTGCTCTTCCAGTTCCTCCAACATAAAGCTCGTTGCATTTTAAACATTCTGTTTGATAAACTACTCCCACTTTTGCACAATCACCTAATTCACCATGCGGGCAAACTACACAATGTTCTGTTATACAGTATCGATCGTATAGTCTGTTTCGAACCAATTGCTTTTTTATATTGTCATTCGAAACGACCACTAATACAATATCATCCTGCAATTGTGCACGTAAAATGCACTTTCGAAGAGCCGCGCTGATGCTATCTGATATAAATGGAATGCACAGTGGGAGTTTATCATGAGCGTTGTTACCATTCGCAGGCTGTTGAGTACGTGGTAAAGAATGGTAGCCATTACTGCAAGCGATATGGGAAGCCAGTCATCGATATAACGGCAGTATTTAGCTGCATTCGAGCTATCACCGGTTCCTCGATCTTGCTCATGAAGCAGATAGCGAGTACAGATGCTAGTCTCTGACTCATTGATAACCCACGTATCTGGGAGTAGTAAGTCCCAGACCATCCAAAGATGTTACACTTCAAACATTCGTGTATTAGGGTCATTGCCCGCAACTTGCCAAGTCCAAAGGTATTGATGGTATTGCCATGCGTACCAACATCTCTGATAGCGCTTGCAGGGCTTGTTCATTTTGCACATTAGTGTAAAGCGAAGTCACTCAAATGACTCGATTACAGTGCTCGAATCAAACTTAGCACTGCGAAGCTATTCGATAAATTCGTGTGAGTTGGATAGATGTGCAGGAACATTGGACAGCAACTGGCTCATAGTTTTATTCAAGAATAATGCAATTCTGTCGGTAAGGCCGCCTACACAACTTACGATTGATCTCATCTTGTAGGTGTCCTCCGACATTGAATTCGTATCTCGCAAAGAAAGCTTGTGCGTTTTGATCAAGCTAGATATAAAATCTAGACAACTTGGACATCTAGCAAGGGGCGGACCCAGAGTCGAAAGTGCGAGAGGTAAGCTATACATCATCTGAATCAGCGTGAGACGCTGATTTCAAATCTGTATCCATTATCTGCCAAGCGATTCTCTAAAAGAAGTTATGAGCCTCAGTTGCTCGCTGACATGTCAAGTTTCGTTAAGTAGGATCCGCACCTGAGACCGATGTGTGATCGTCTGGTGTAGTGGATAAGCGCGGAGCCTATAGAGCAGATAGTCGAGGGTTCGAATCCTTTTCCCGTCTAACATTTTTGCAAGTTATGAATATGTTTGTTTTGCGCTATAAGGGGTATCCCGCGCACATGTACGGACTTCAGATCATAATCTACTGCTGAAAAGTTGGGGTTTTCGCGGCTTTTTTTTTCACCAAGGTTTTAGCCGCTGTATGAGACAATGGAATCAAATCTAGTGTGTGTGAGCGACAATGTGCTAGTGTGCCTGCTCTCATTATAAAATAGGAATTTGAAGCAGTATTTGAGTAAGATTTTTTATGCCTAAATCTAAAAGCAGAGGTAGCATCATGGAAAATTTGTGTTTGACTTGCAGAGTTGCTAATCTTGTTGAGGCGGGAACGTAAACATGTTGAACAAGAAATTGTACATATATGGATATGTGAATTTGACAAGAAGGAGCTTTACTTCTTGCTCAATGTTTTCGGCACAGTTGGTGGTATCTTACCTCCTGAAAGAATTCGGATCCTGCAATGATTTGCGCACACCGAGCTGTCAAGATGTTCAAAATGTTAACTGCAGCAGAAATTATGTAAAAACTTACAGCACATTGTCACTCACATACGTAAGATATACGGCTGACTGTCATACCAGCGGCTAAAACCTTGGTGAAAAAAAGTTGCGAAAATCCCAACTTTTCAGCATAAATTATGATCTGAAGTCCGTACATGTGCGCGGGATACCCCTTATAGCGCAAAACAAACATATTCTTAACTTGCAAAAATGTTAAACGGGAAAAGGATTTGAACCCTCGACCATCTGCTCCATAGGCTTCGCGCTTATCCACTACACCAGACGACCACAAATGGTTTTCAGGTGCGAATCCTACTCAACGAAACTTGATATGTCAACGAGCAACCGAGGCTCATAACTCCTTTTAGAGAACCGCTTAGCAGATAATGGATACAGATTTGAAACAGCGTCTCACGCTGATTTAGATGATATATAGCTTACCACATTTCGCACTTTCGACTCTGGGTCCGCCCCTTTAAGCTTCAACCTGTTGATAAACCTCTCGACACGTCCAGCTGCTTTTGCTAATGTGGTCCAAGTGTCATTCAACTTTTTACATTGGGTGTAAAATTCTTTCTCAGTGACACTCTATACGTTGTGGTGTCCGCAAGATGCGCTGCTGTTATTCTGCGATCTAACTTCTGAGGCATTACTACAAACTCGCCGCCTTTATCGCTTACAAACACGCGTATTGAACCGTTCGAGAGTTCTCAACCTCCTAAGCGAAGGTTGAGAACTAGCCGGACTGGGGGAGGTGTTTGGTGGCTGGAGTCACATATGACGTTTTGAACCACTTTCAGGCCTCTGAGGAACGAAGGCGTCGAAACGTTAGGCCGTGATTGGATAAATAAAGACCATCTAAAAAACCTGTGTGGCTCAGAACACTTTGAAGAATAAAACAAAGTGCTCGATTTCGCAACTTTTATATATGGTTTTTTTTGCAGTAAAATTGCTCATAACTTCGTCCCAAGGAGCTAAGCAAATATTGAATACAAATTCAAAATCAGGTTGGATGGTAGGCACCCTTGGATTGGCCACCTCGATTTCTGACCATTCCCTTGTCAGCTCTTCACAAGGTTCATTTTCAAGAACGACGGAGGAATGTTATATCCGGTATTTTTCGAGAGCTAAGCTTGTGAAAAACTTGCTGGAAACTTACGCTTGTACTTCCAAAGGAATTGCGTTGGTGAGTTTATGGGCGCATTACCTAACAGTGAAAATCAATAAATACCAAATAAGTTTGGAAGTGCACCTTGCTTCCGCAACAAATTCTTCAGCTTTTTTACATAAAAAGTTCTTGTTGATGGTGTCAGTGGTCCGACAGACTGCCCCAAAGCAATTAGTTGCTGAAAAAAAAGGCTGCTGAAATCTACCATAGCTCTTCTCCTAGCTTGAAATCAAATTCATTGGGTCATTTGCTGAGTGCGTCACAGACTGAAAATGAGAGCGAAATCAACGCTAGAAAGAAGACATGGAAGATCCTGATTACGCAGAATATTTTTCTGTGACTTTGGTCAAAACCTAATGAGTAAATATTCCGATCTAAGTGCTTTGCTAATATCCTGCAACATTTCCACATCTTGGAGACTGCTATTGATAATAGAAAGGGAGCGATTTAACAATAACCGTATCTCTTATCATACTCTCATATTCGTTTCGTTTATTCAAGGTTCCTTTAAATTCGCGAGAAAGTACCAAACCTTTGCTGCTTAGCACACCAAAAAAGAGGAATGAAACCAAATTATGAGATTAAGAAAGGCTATAATGAGTGTTGGAAGGTAAATGCTGAGCATTTACTCTAAAACAACGACGATACTATACTATCATTGACCTATTAGGTTGTCCCGAAAGCTTTGTCCGTTTTTTCAAGCTATCATAGAAATGCGTGGAACGAAGACAGGGAAACGCTCTAGGCACCATTCGACGCAACTTTTCCTCCTCTTTCTAACAGTCAAGCCCGCATGCCGACTACTCTTTCGCTCACTGAGATAAACGCCGAAATTTCGAACCCATGGTTTTTACTATGTCAAGTTTGACAATTTTTCACAATCTTCATTTCCAACTTTTAGAAGACCTTTGATAGCCCTCAGATAGAGAGTAAGCAAAGGGCAATGCAATGCAATTATTTGGCGTATCTAGCTGGCTTTCCAATATTTTAAAGATAATTTTTTCAGAAGTCTTCACTTTTGCGAAGTTCTAAAATACAGAAACGCTCGAATAAACAAATTATCGGATTTTGAAGCTTTCAAAAACCGATTACGATTATTCACTATTTTTACGAAGCAAATGAGCGTTTACCGCTTCGAAATACATGATTTTGCATTTTACGTGTACACGCTGGGGTGAGGTCAAATTCAAGAATTATGGAAATTTTATCGCTAAAGACCCACAAATTGGAGGAAAAATACACTCACTGGAAAGAGGAAGAAAAGCTGCATCGAATGACACTTTAGTTGTGCGCCGTTTTATGTTTTATGGTTCATGGCATCACCAAAAGTGGAATTTGATAGCATCAGAAAAATAATTCTAAAAAATTATCAAGGCAGGCTATAGATGCCGCAAAATTGCATTATGTTGCCCTCTGCTTACTCTATCAGATGGCTATCAAAAGTCTTCCAAAAGTTGGAAATGAAGATGTGAAAAATTGCCAAACTTGGACATAGTAAAAACCATGGGTTCGAAATTTTGGCTTTTATCTCGATGAGCAAAAGAGTAATCGGCACGCGGGCTTGACATTCAGAAAGAGAAGGAAAAGATGCTCGGGTAGTGCTTAGAGCGTTTCTCTATCTTCGTTCACGCGTTTCTATGATAGGATGAAAAAACGGACAAAACTTTCGGGACAACCTAATAAAACGAGAAAAAATGCCGAAAATCTTAAAAAAAAATCTCTAGCTTGTAAGGAAGATCTGGATAAATATATTATAATCTGGAAAAATATATTATGAAAAAAGAACGCTCAAATAAAAACCAGCCGATATTGATCTCAAAATGTTTGAATGGAAATGGAGACATACTTGCCATAAAACTGCTTGTAAACTACCTGGCGAAGTTCATTGTCGGAGAGATTATTCAAGTCCATTTTGAACGACTGCTGATTATGAAGCGATCTGTAATAAATGCGATGTGTGCACATGACTACAGACGGGGTGCGTAGCAAGTGGTACTCGAGCAGCCGACTGCTGCCGCAGCCAGCCGCCGGAGCTGCTGGCAAAGCCGCTGCAGATGGTACAGTGATCATTCTCGTCGTCTAGAACTCTTGCCGAGGAAATTTTCTCGGACCTCTCGCGCTGAGGTGCGATATGGCTCAGAAATAGTTGATATATGCAAAAAACAAAGTATAGAGTTCATTGAAGGAAAATAGTCACAAATTTCAATCATGTTGAATACTCGAAATTACTCGAAAATTAATCGAAATTTAAAATTTAAATTAGTCGAAATGTTTGATTTCGGAAAAAAAATTTTTTTGAACCTCGCAGAAGGGACGAAAATAGTTACAGGAAACTGTTATGGATGTAATTGTACGCTAATTTGTCAAAATTAGTATTTTATGGGCTAGTAATGTTAAGCGAGCTAAATAAGTCAAAATAGGTAATATAGATTGATTAAGCTACTGATAAAAATGGAAATATGCCAGGAGTGCTGATAACAGGGTTTTATAGATGGTATGAATGCAAAAACGAAAAAAGAATACACTCTAGTTGCTGTAATATGAGAAAAGCCAAAAATACAAAAAAATAAAATTCTATTTCTCTTTAAAATGCAAAATTTCAGAAATTTGCTCGGGTCGCTGAAAGCTTAAGGTTGGGCTTGCTCAACAACAAAAAGTCGAATTTTTTCCTCAGTGCTCAGATCGCTAAGCACATGAAAGATGGATAAAAACCCGTCGCTTCTAAATCAGCTGAGAAACTGCAAAGTTCCCCACTCGAACATATTTTTGGGGATCAAAGTACGTTTTCTGAGCAACTGTTTTATACTTTTAACTATTATCCAAATGACTTTGGAAGCCAAGATGTACATTGCTCAATAGAAACCTTGGGTGATTCTTGGCCAGCCTTCAAGCTGCTTTCTGTAATAAATATTTTTGATCGCATTGTGCGTAATCGAACGAAAGCGGGACGCTCCGGAATGCTTAGACTGATTTTCACATAGCTGCACCAAATTTTAGATCGATTCGTTGGTAACCAAAAGTTTCGGCTTTTTTAAAGTGGAACCTATAGTTCTGGTCAGCACTGCAAGATAAAATATAGAAGAATGTTTGCCATGCAAAGTAGAAGGAGCGCCCAAACTCCACTTGATAACCAAAACGATGATGGGCGTAATCATGAAGCAATATTGCCTCTGGAAAGAACACAATGCACAGATTCATCAAGAGAGATGAATCTTATCAATGGTATTCTAGAAAAAGAATATGTCACTGATGCGACGCAATAAGTCAATAGTGGAAGAAACAACGAAAATGATGCCAAAACTACAAGTCCGAGGTTGAGGCTTTGGCCATACTTTACCCATGTTAGCCGTGTTACCGGTGTTACTAGTGTTACTCGTATTACTCGTGTTACCCGTGTTACCCGTATTACTTGTGTTACTAGTGTTACTAGGGTTACCCTTGTTAATCATTTCACTATTCAACAGCAATAAAAGCGGTAACACTATTAACACCCGTAACACCTGTAACACGGGTAACACGGGTAACACTAGTAACACGAGTAATACGGGTAACATTAGTAACCTGTGGCATACCCAGGATTTCCATTCGGGAGGGGGGGGTGGGCAAAAAAAATTTCTGATGAAGGTGCGTGGCGTCAGCACTCCGAAAAATTTTTCCGTAGCTTCCAAAAATTTTTGCGGGCCCATAACCCCGAAATTTTAGAAAAAAGGGGCTGACGTGGGGGCCCGAAAAAAAAATTTTATAAGGCTAAAATGAATTTTTTCTCAAACTTTGAAACATATTTCAATTGTTGTATTAGATAATAAATAGGTCTCACACCAAATAACTGCGCATTGTGCGGAACGTCCTCTGTGCCTCCTTCAACAGAACTCCTCGGATTCCTTCTCGGAAATAGCGTTGGTGGGTTTATGGGCGCATCACCTAACAGTAAAGAATCAGTAAACATCCAAATAAGCTTGGAAGTGCACCTTGCATCCGCAACAAATTCTTCAGCTTTTTCTTATACAAAGTTCTTGTTAATGGTGTCAGTGGTCCAACAGACTGCCCCAAAGCAGTTAGTTGCTGAAAAAAGCTGTTAGACACTTACTGCAGCTCTTCTCCCAGCTTGAAATCAAATTTTCATTGGGTCATTTGCTAAGTGCGTCACAGACTGAAAAAGCGGTATTTGTGAATTTAACGCTAGAAAGAAGACACGCAAAATTGTACTGATCACTCAGGATGTTTTTATGTGACTCATTTGGTCAAAAACCTAGTGGATAAATAGTTCAAAATAAGTTTTACGGCTAATGGTAACATTTCACATCAAGGAAGCCTTAATAATAATAGAAAGGGAGTGACCCTATTAGTCTGAACCGTTTATCTCCTATCATACTTTCATACTCGTTTCATATACTCAAGATTTGTTTGCTCTTGCGAGAAAGTTAACAAAACTCTGCTGATTAGCACACCAGTAGAAAGAGAAATGCAATCAAATTCTAAGACTGATAAGGACTATGAAGGGTGAAAGATTTGGAAGATAGATGATGAGTATTTATCTCAGATCAGTGACAATACGTACCATCACTGACCCAAATGCAGGAAAAAAGCGTCTAAAATCTTTACAATTTTTGGCCTTGTAGAAAAAGTCTGAAAAAATATTGTGGGAAAAACGGTCAAACGATGACCAGCTAATGTGATAATTTTAAATCTCAAAGATTTCCAGATACTGGAAATGGACACATATTTGTCATTCACAGTTGCTTCAAACCCACCTGATGAAGTTCATTGTCGGAGAGATTATTCAGGTCCATTTGGAACGATCGCTTATTATGAAGCGATCTGTAATGAATGCGACTTGTGCATATGACTGTAAACGGACCGAAAAAATGATTACGCTCTGTAGCTTGGGCGAACACAAAAGACAAAGAATTCTAATAAAAAGGATAGTGTGTGTGGTTTTAGCATATGTTGTGCAGACGCGAACGCACTCTACTTCATAGTCGAAGAGGCTAATAAATTTTTGTGGGCGTATTACAGTGGCTTGCGGGGGCCAGCAGATACCATTCAGTGCTTTTATTTTCCCAGATTACTCTCGTACCAATTTACTGGCCCCGGAAGGCAGAAGGCTTGGTTGGCCTAAAGGCGGAATCGAACTTGACTCCGATCTGGTCATAGCGGCTCCTCATATCACTATGCTACTCGTCACACATTCTCGAACATATACTACAATTGGAACAAGCCAAAGTTCACAGAGAATAGAAAAAAAGACATTTCCAGATAAATGGTCTTTCTGAAAGGCAGCGTCCATCCACCCAAAACCTATTCACCCCAAATTACTATTTATCCTACTAGCAGGCCTTTAATAGTAGACAAACTGTGTTGGACCGGTCCCCTCATTCTGCCCAAAAGAGGATATACGGGCTTGAATTCTCTTTGCGCTCTGCCCAATCAAGGATTGCTCCAGACTTGTTCTCTGTTCTGACAGGCAACGTGGAGACGAATACTTTGTGACGCGTCCACGTCTGCCGGAATAGGGCTTCAGAAAGGGGCAATTTTGGATTTTCCTTGTAATTTGAACGTTATATTCGAAATCAGCTCTATGGAAAGGCCCGATAACAGTAAAAACATGGAGGACGAAATTTTGGGTGGACGCCGCCTTTAAGAAGGCCCGGTGGGATAAGAATGAGCAACTTCACGAACTAGCCTCACACAGTTGTAAATATTGGAAATCAACTGGAAACACCCTGTGAATAGTTTTTTTTTTTGAAGAAATAGCTCTTGTTAGATGTGCCGACACGGTAGGCACTTGCTCATGACTTTATCATCAACTCGCCAAAGTAGTGTAAAAGAAATGCATGAGCAGGACCCGTTGCGATAAAGCGTCTTTACCGATCAGATGTGAGTTAACCAACCCCACCACAGTACCAAACGCGTAAAGGCGTCTCTTCATAAAGCTCTAGCAAGACCTAAGCACTCAACATCTGGATCTACTAGCGAGATGCAGAATGGAAGTCGAAGATGGTACCGAATCGCTACAAATAGACTTGAAATCTTGAAGGAAAGGCAGAGGAAGTTACATCTGACGCTGCGAAGAAGTCAAGAGACAAAGTTTTTCAAAACCATCACTGACGCTCGTAGGGTTTGCTCATCTTCTGCAAGATCATATGAGAGAAGGTGAGATGGAGCTAAATAGGAAAAGTGTAGAAGAATGTTTGCTAAAGGTAGAAGGAGCGCTCATAATCTGCTTGCTGATCAAAATGATGATGTCTGATAACTGATGAATGAGGCTGGTTGTTATGATCATTAGTGAAAGCACTATAGTTAGTAACAATATAGCCAATGCAAATAGCGGTCATCGTAAACTTATGAAGTGAAGCGTAACCAGAAAAGCAGTCAAATGTAGGAGGACCAGCTGAGGCAGTGTGGCCAACATGAGCGCCACATTTGAACATGACTCATCCAAAATCAGAAATATATCAAGAAGCTGAAACACATTCATATTTCGCAATTTCTTTCGACATTTTTTTGAGTTTTACTGGATATTAGCTGATTGCTACTAGCTACTGGCTTACCCGGCTCCGCCCGGTCCTGTCAAAACACTATAATAAAGCTCTCATCCCTATCCCTGTACAAGCTTTCCCTGTGCCCACGTCTACATACCAATTTATTCCCGCTGTTTTAGTAATCAGCATGCTCGGTTACTCCTCTGTGCCAACTCCCAGCGCCGTAGCTCAAACTTTGCAAAAAAAAATCGCAAAATCGATAATAATTGAATTAAAAACCAATATTGTATTCGAAATCAGCATGCTCAATTACCCTCCTAACCTCCAAACCCGTAGATCAAACTTTACAAAAAATCGATAAAAATCGATATAATCGATATCCATCTGACGGAAATTAGCCTATGGCACCCGCTCGGCCCGAAGTGTATG